GTTAAGCGTCCGACTTCAGCCCAGGTCATGATCTCACAATCTGTGAGTTCGAGCCCCGCGTCAGGCTCTGTGCTGTCAGTTCAGAACCTGGAGCCTTCTTCGGATTCTGTGTCTCCCTCTCTCTCTGCCCCTCCCCCACTCACACTCTGTCTCAAAATATGAATAAACGTTAAAAAAAAAAAGTAAAACAAAACTGGTATGTGGCAGGAATACAGAAGTAGATGTTTAAGACTTAGAAAAGTCAAGGATCATTATTCTAAAGAGCATTTTACCAGTTCAAGGATACCTTTTCATTAGTTAAATGAAACCTATATAAATGAATATGCGTGTGTGTGTATAGCACATAACAGTTGTTAGAGCTTTTAAGATAATTCCTGCAAAAACCTGAAATGCTTTAAAATTTTAAACTGCAATGGTTATTTATTTAATATTTGGTTGTATTACTATTTAATTTTGAGGTTAAATGTAAACATTGTTTTTGTTGTTTTAGTTTATAAAGAGCTATAGAGAAGGATACTTTTCCAGACCTTGAAGTTGTTTTTCTGAATACTTAAGTATGGGGAATGATTTTAGATTAAGCATTTATTTATTTATTTTAAAGATTATTTATTTATTTTGAGGGAGAGAGTACACGTATGCGTGCTTGAGTAGGGGAAGGGCAGGAAAAGGGAGAATCTCAACCAGGCTCCGTGTTGTCAGCACAGAGCCCACATGGGACTTAAACTCACAAAACAGTGAGGTCATGACCTGAGCCAGAATCAGGAGTCCAACACTCAACCGACTGAGCCACCCAGGTGTCCCTGAGCATATATTTTTAACTGTAAGTGTTCTGTCCTCAGAAAGTAGCCCAACATTTCTGAAGTCCCTACCTAGCCTTGTGAATATATTGCTAAAATGTTTTTGAAGGATTATATTTAAAAAAAACACTAGATTTTTAATATTTCATACAAAAGTAACTTTTTCCATAGCACAAACTCTAATATTTGATATATCTATTCACCAATGATATACTAAATTTGTACTGAAAACTCATCCCTTTTAACAGAACTAGAATGTGATTTGAATAGACGCTAGAAATGGGAGAATTTGTTGTGACTGTTTTTCCCCCCCCTTTTTTTTGTCAGTATTAGAATTTTGTGTATATTAAACAATAATAATTAGGTTGTTTGCTAAAGCCTGGAGATCTCTAATTTAACATGTAGAGTTCAGATCTTTTAATAGTAACCTACATATACCATAGTAAAAATTTCTGTTGAACAAAGGATCCACAACCCCAAAGTAAACACTCCCTTTATTAATTGTGCATTTTAATTTTCAGATATTTTGAAGATGAGGAAGAAGACTCTAGCAATGTTGATTTGCCTTATATTCCTGCTGAAAACTCACCTACCCGCCAGCAGTTCCATTCCAAGCCACCAGATTCTGACAGCGATGATGATCCCTTGGAGGCATTCATGGCTGAAGTGGAGGCAAGTATCGAGGCTGTTTTGTTAGAAGTTGCAGCAGTTAGAAAGATACCAAATTAACCTAGTTATTCAGTCATTCAGAATTTGCTTTCTGAGCCTTTTTGGGGAGGATTTTGCTCTCCTACTCTATAGTTTCTTAAACATACATCCACATGCCCTGTAGCATTTTCAGAGATGATCAATGCCTAAAAATTTGAACTGTGACCCTTGAACAAGGGTAGCTCAAGATTTGTATGTGTGTAAGTTTTAATATTTCTTTGTATATTCTTAAATGGAATGAACATTATTTCATTCAGTGTCAATTTATGTAAGGCAGTTAAACTTCTAAGGAACTTGCTAAAATTATGAATTCTGTATTCTGTACTTTTTTTTTATTAAAAAAAAATTTTTTTTTTTAACATTTATTTATTTTTGAGACAGAGAGAGACAGAGCATGAATGGGGGAGGGTCAGAGAGAGGGAGACACAGAATCTGAAGCAGGCTTCAAGCTCTGAGCTGTCAGCACAGAGCTGGATGCGGGGCTCGAACTCACAAACCGTGAGATTATGACCTGAGCCGAAGTCGACCGCTTAACCGACTGAGCCACCCAGGCGCCCCTGTGTATTCTGTACTTTTAATGTTTATTTTTTAATATCAGCATCTATGACCTCCCTGTAGAAATTGAAATTTGTAACCACTTCCTTCTTAAAACTCTTCTCACTAGGCTTTAGTGATTTTGCATTTTGTCCTTTTTCTCCATTTCTCTGACTTTTGTATTTATTTACTTTTTATTATGAAAAATTTCAAACGCATGTAAGTAGAATAATGAGCTCCCACGTACCCTTCACCCTGCTTTATCAGTAAGCAACTTTTGGCCCATCTTGTGTTATCTAGCCCTCTCTTTTAGATTATTTTAAAGTAAATCTCAGACGTACCATTTCATCCATTTGTAGTTCTGCACCTCTATAACACTTAAAAAACATAACTACCATATCATACCAAGAAAAATCATTACATATCTCTCTGTTGTCTGTTACTGTTATTAAGATCCTCTTCCAGTTTCTCAGATATGATTATTGTTACAGTTCTCTATGTCGATTTGCTATTTTCATTCTTTATACATTCCTAGTGACCTCATCCACTTCTAAAACTTAACTTCTGTGTGAATAATTCATGCCTTTAGTTCCACAGTCTCTCTTTGGTTTCAGCTCTGTTTTTCTAAAACATATTGGCCATTTTTACATGGATGGTGTCCCCCTGGTGTCTTTTTCTTCCTCAACCAGATCTTTGTCTTATATATTCCTCTTAATGCCAGATAATCAAACATGTTCATGACTTCATTTAATACTCAAAATAACAATAGGGATTGGCAGAAAAGAATACATAGAAATGTAATTTTTTAACTAAGAAGATTATGAATTGAACCCTTTGGTAATTCAGAGCCCTTGTCCTAAATCCCATTGGTGCTTTGTGGTAGAGCTGGGACCATATTTTTTCTTGCTTAGTAGTCCTGAGAACCTAGCTCTTTCCAGTAAATCATGCTACCTTTCCCCTCCTTTGGCAAGTTCTGTTCATCTTTGTAGTATTTTTTGTGTCTGTTCCTTTCTGCTTCCACTACAGTCAGTGTGCTTTACACTTTCATTACCTCTTGCCTGATCTAAATTTTCTCCCTGTTTTAGGCTTTCTGTTCTCCCATTTATGTGGTATACAAAAACAGAGTAATTAGACTAAAGCATGTTGCTTATGGTGTTATTCCTCTTAAAAATTGTCACTTCATTGCTTATGAAATAAAGTCCTTCCAGGTTTCTCAGTTACTTGTAACCTAAGTTTTAAGCCAGATCTCCTCTCTAAGAAAAGAGGGAAGAGAGTATCCAATATAGATATTTTTGTTTGGCCTAGATACTGCTTTTTAAACATGTGGGCCAGAATTTTTAAGATCAGGAGATTTTGTCTAAAAGTGCAGACTCTTGAAAAGTGGACACTGGCAGTATTAAGCCTGCATTTTGCATGGCAAAAATAGGCTTGTGCTGAGCAAATGGTTGCCTCCTTTAGATAGGGCTCACTTTTTCTGGTTCACCTTAGTTCTATCAGTCTGTTTTATCTTCCTGACTTTGAGGCTGCCACTTAGAACTGTTTATCATCACACTCGTGTTGTAGTTTTCTTACGGTGGAGAAATATTTTTCTGAGCTTAGGTCTCTTGTCAAATATCAGAAAATAAAAGACTCAGGGCCATGTGATTGATACAGGAAAAATTAGAGCTTGCTTCTTTAGAATATTCCTGCTTGTTAAAATGCAAACAAAGCATGTCTATACCTAAAGAAAAAGAAACTTTTCTTATCCTGGTTTACTTCCTACCGATTGTCAGATTGGTACCCATTACTCAGTTTCCCAACTTTGATTTAGAATAACCCCAATTACTTGCCTCTTAAAAAATATGCACTTTATAAGTAGCTAAGCCGGAATCAGTTCCAAATCTCATATTCGTTTCTGCTGTGTCATTCTGTATCTGAGTTCTTGTAGTACTGTATTTCTGCCATAACACTTAACAGAACTATTCAGAACTTTCACGTGCTTTGCAACATGGTAACAATTTAGTAAGTATGTTAAGCTGTTCTCTCTGCAAGTAAAGGCAATAAAGTTTGTCATGTTTGGGGTGTCTTATATGTATATGTATCTTTCTCCCCCCTCTATCTTCTTGACGTACGGACATTTCCCAAAGGGCTGTTTCTCATTATATCTTGCAATCCCTAATGGTGAATAAGTAAAATCATTTCTTGATTTTCTCAGTTTTAATTCAGATTTAAATTTTTAGTAACGCAAGTTGGTGTAACCCTTTTTGAGTGGAAGTATACAAGAATGTCCCAGTTTCTCCTGTTTGGCATTTCAAGTAGTTGAAGCTGTAGGAGGGTAAATCTTTTTGACATGGCATCATTCTCCTGGGTGTTTTTTGGGATAGTGTCGGAAAGGGTTTTGCTGATTTTAGGATAGAGAGACTGGATATTGTCTGATCTTGGAGAGAGTGTTGTTGCCACAATATTGCATTAATCCTTGATCTCAGGTATATTCTGTTCTGGAAAGTGTAAACTTTTCTAGTGTTTGAACTCACAATGAAGATGTATTTTTAGCAAGTGTTTCAAAAAAAAAGATTCATGTGGGCTTAAAAAAATATGTCCTGTGTTTGTGGCCCTTTCCTTATGTTACATTATGTCATTTTCACTTCAGTTACAGTCTCGAGTATAGTGTATGTCTGTCTCAGTTCCTTAAAAAGTAGATTTGTTTGTATGTAGTATTTCATTTTAGAATAACTCCTCTTTATCGGGAACATTTGATTAGATACAACACCTGACCATGCTAGGTTATAGTTAGTGACAGTTTTTTAAATCACAGAAATCAGAAAAACTTGCTTTGTAACAAGAAACAGTAGTGCAAGGATGTGTTTAACCTTGGGGAAAATTACTTAATTCTTCTGACCTTGATTTTCACATGTATAAAACAGGGAATTAGATCAGTGATTATCACTTTGCTGTATACAAGACTTGCCTGTGAAAAAATGTGAAGTACATGCATTTAACTCTATCTCCAAGGATTCTGATTTGGTAGGTTCAGAGCAGTGTTTTCCCAACCTCAGGACTTTGGCATTTGGGGTTTGCTAATTTGTTATGGGGGCCGTCCTGTGTATTGTAGGATGTTTATCAGTATCTGTGGCCTTTACCCACTAGATACTGGTAACAACCCCCCCTGTTTCCCACTCCCTCCACCCAGAAGCAACCAGAAATGTCTCCAGACATTGCCAAATGGTGAGAACAGTTTTTCCAAAGTCAGATCCAGAAATTTGCTTTTTATTTATTTATTTTTTTTACTAACTCCATTGGTAGTTTGATGTAAAAGGTCTTAAGCTATGCTTTGAGAAAGGCTAATTTGCCTGAATTTAAGGCATTTTACAGCCACAATTCATTTTTTTAAAGAGTAACCAATCAAGGAATTTTTTTCTAATTTTTCCATGTATGCAATGCAGTCCGTATATAACCAAGATTTTAGAACATTTCTCTTTGAAAAAATAATTGTTAGGTGCCTAGATGGCTCAGTTGGTTAAGAATCTGACTTTTGATTTCAGCTCAAGTCAGCTCAAGTCAAGGGCTCAGAGTTTGTGAGTTTAAGCCCCACATCGAGCTCTGCACTGACAGTGCAGAGCCTGCTTGGGATTCTCTCTCTCTCTTTCTCTCTCTCTCTCTCTCTGCCCCTCCCCTGCTTTCTGTCTTTCAAAATAAATAAATATTTTAAAAACTGTCAAAAGTGCACTTTGATTGCATCAAGATATAATTGTCAAAATGCATAGCCAAAACTGTGATGTCACTAGTTCAGATCTAAAAATTCTTTATAAAGAAATTCCCTTCGTAATGTTTTTAGTGGATATGATTCCATACAGGCTTTTGTTTCATTAGGATCAGGCGGCTAGAGACATGAAGAGGCTTGAAGAAAAGGACAAGGAAAGAAAAAACGTAAAGTAAGTTGTTTTCTTCTCCCTCACAAAGGTTACATGAAAAATGCTAAAGTATTGCAAAGCTTATTCCCCCAAAGTTTATAGAGAAACATTAAAATTTTCAAATGTCTTGACTTGAAGTAACTCCTGTATCTTGAATATTATTTTTGTAGGTAATAGACATCACAAAAGTCTTGCATTTTTGCAATAATAAGCATTCTTTTTAGTATAATAGTATTTGGTGTTTAATTGTAAATAGTTTTTTAGTAGATACAAGAGTGAGTTACAGTAGGAATTAAGAGAGTACAATTACTAAAGTTTGGGCTCATTGTTCTGAGTTTTGTCCCATAATTAATATAAAGTAGGTTAATGTCTGTATGATTGCTTATGAGGAGTAATGGTGATTATCATAAAAAAGTGTGTTATTAACAAATGATTAACTTGGTTTACTTAAGGAGTGATATCATGCTTTAGCATCTAATCAGAACTTGAAATACTTTATTTTCTGGGGAAGAGAATTCTCCTCTTTCCCTTTCTGAATACACCCCTCTTAAGGCTTTTGCTACCAGGCACAGGTAGGCGTGGTTGGATTTCCTCCTGTGTGGCAGTCAGTGCCTCAGGCCCCCCGCAAGGTTCCTGTGCCATATGGAGGTTCGGCCCTCTCTTTGGTGCTTACCGTGTGTTGTACCCTCTTCCGGCTGCCCTGCACTGGTGATGTTGCCTGCCTTGAGAACAACAAGTGCTCTAGGTCAGGCAGAAAGTCTGATTAGAAAGACATGGTTGTGGGAACTTAGCAGCCGTACTTTCTGTCGCTCCTGACAGGCGCTGCAAGTGGCGATGGCCCCCCTTCTCCATGGGAACTGCTTAGGAGTTTTAGTACCAAAGTTACAAAAGAGTTAAGATAGTTTTTCTTTGTCCCCAAGGACTTTGGCTGAATCCAGTCACTCCAGACTTAGAAACTCTGGGGAACATTAAAATTGTGATATTCTTCTTAGTGTATGCCAAATAGAGAGGGTTATTTTTTTTTGTCTTTTTATAAAATGCAGTTTGCTTTTTAAAATGCGTTTTACAACTGTATTGTGTTTGTCGTATGGGGTCGACAAGGCTAGGATCCTTGGGTATCTATCTTCAAAAGTTTTTACTCCTTATCCTTGTTAGTAATTGATGTTTCTAGGAGTACCATATCATCCCATGCAGACTGCAGCTTCTAGAGTGAAGCCACACATGTATGATGGATGGATAGTTTACAGTGTGCTTATTGTTGCTTTGTTATTGTTAGTGTTGAGTGTTCCTGTGCTACTGTATGGAATTCAACACTAATCTGCTATAAGTATGGAGCTGGGTATGTGGAACATTTGCAGGGAAGTTTGTTTCTCCGCTTGTTTTTCCAGGGGTATTCGAGATGACATTGAAGAGGAAGATGACCAAGTGAGTTCCTATGCAGTATTTCTATCTTTTATTTTTACCCCACAAAGTCTATACTGGGGACAAGCTAGAGCTTGCCTTCACTGAAATGGCCATTCCTTGCTCCTTTTCTACATGTATGACTAGTTGGTAATAGAAAAATTCACATGGCTTTCCCCCATGTTGAAGATGGAACTTTTGATCAACTAGGACATCAAAAACAAATCATGAGCTTTATTCAGCTTGATTTTTTTTTTTTCAAAATTAATGTTTATACTGCTGAATCAAGAAGTAATATGGGATCTACTGATGGCCTCTAGCAACATCTAACCTCTACCTCTTTCTAAGGGTCTGTTTGTGATTTTTGTATTTCAAGATGGAACATTAATTTAATGACTGGCCTTTAGTATTTTTCCACCAATGTCCAGTTGTGGGATGGTGAGAAGGGAAACAGAATGAGCAGTAGCCCTTTCCAGGTTTGTGACCCTTCTAATCAGTGTCAACTTCCAAACTTGGATGGTAAATCCATAGCATGTGTTCCACAGCTCTGGACAGGATAGGTAGACACCCCACCCCAGGAAGACTGTGGGACAGACAGATTTGTAAAGCTTCTTGTTAAATCATTGTGTAGTACTAACTGTCTCATTCGTTTTTTCTGATTGTCCCTATGAATACTGCTGTTGTTAAAGGAATCATTGCTAGTTAAAGTCTTGCCTTACTTGGTAGGTATTAAACTGTGCAGTCATCTGGTACACTGTGTGCACCAATTACAGGAGCAGAAATGTTCTTAGTTGTATTTGAATATGATTATGTTCTTGTGCTTTCCTGCAGGAAGCTTATTTTCGGTACATGGCAGAGAACCCAACTGCTGGTGTGGTTCAGGAGGAAGAAGAAGATAATTTGGAATATGATAGTGATGGAAATCCAATTGCACCTTCCAAGAAAATCATTGATCCTCTTCCTCCCATTGATCATTCAGAGGTATGGTGTTTCCTGCTAAATTTGATTCTCATTTCAAAAGCTGATAGTTCTCTTCAGCTTTAATACTAGGTTTTTGCAATATTTGAGTAATCCTGATTCATACTCCTTATGTCACGAAAATATGTGTTCTTTGGGATCTTCTCAGGTCTGCTGTGTAGTTGAGTCTGAAAGTGACTGAGTGGTTCAGGCTTTATAGCCTATGTTGTTGTTCAAGGTTTAGCTGAATCTCTTGCTCCCGTTTGATTTTAGGCTAAGAATTTTTTAAAGCAGTTTTTTGTACTTGTTTTCCAGACCATCATCTACCTTTCAAAATGATGATGTTGAAACATCTGTGAAAAAACACAGATGTTTTTTTAATTGCCGTAAGTCTTGTTTCTCAGATCTGGAGCAGATGAGAGACTGTTGCTTCAAAGTGGAACTAGGAATTTTAGTTTCCTTAAGTCAGGAAAAGAGAATGAGGATATTGGTATATCCACTTGAAAAAAATTTGTGTTTCATTCAGGTTAAATATCAGACTAGACCTTGCATGCCTTAGTGAGTCTAGGTTTAGGACAGTGGTTCTCACATTGTGGTTCAAGGACTCCTAGAAGGAACTTCTCAGGGAGTCCACAAAATCCAAAATAATTTTCAGGGGTGCCTGGGTGGCTCACTTAAGCATCTGACTCTTGGTACCAGCTCAGGTCGTGATCTGTCAGTAGTGAGATCAAGCCCCACGTCGGGCTCCTCAAGCTGAGCATGGAGCCTGCTTGTGATTCTCTCTCCCTCTCTCTGTGCCTCTCCCCTGCTTGTTCTCTCTCTCTCAAAATAAACAAACATTGTAAAAAAAAAAAAGTGACCACTGATCAAGTCTTAGTATACTATCAAAGAAGAGTAAAAATCCACAATAATTTGAAAAGACTATTAAATACTCTCTTCCCTTTCCAATCACATGTTTGTGAGGCCAGATTTTCTTCATAGGTTTCAATCAAAGCAATATGTTGCAACAATCTAAATATAGTAGGAACCAATTTCTTTTAAGTCAGACTTGTAAAAAGATTTGTAAAACAGGGGCACCTTGCTGGCTTGGTCGGTAGAGCATCCAACTCTTGATCTTGGGGTTGTGAGTTTGAGCGCCACAGTGGGTGAAGAGATTAAGATCACTTAAGTAAAACTTTAAAAAAGATTTGTAAAAATGTAAAACAAGGTTATGACTTTTTAAAAATTAAAGCTTTTATGTTAGAGTATAACGAGTGTATTATTTTCAAGTGAGTAAATCTTAAAGACATTTCTCAGTTTTAGTTTTAATATGGTAAATGTCAATGCATGAAACCCACACAAGCAAAAGTTCGTGTTTTTTAGGGCATCTGAGACAAAAAAGTTTGAAAACGACTGGTCTAGACTATGGATTATATTCAGTTTTTGAAATGTTTCCTTTTGCACAGATGCTACCAAATAATGCCTTGGTATTTTACATGTGGCAGATGAAACTAAGTATGTGAGACTGATGTGAGAGGAAGCATCTATGACAAAGGATGACGGCCTAATAAGGAAAAACACATAAGTACTTGAAATAATCATCTCATAAAATATTTGAGATCCTTGGTGAAGCTCTCAAATCTCATTATCATGCTAGGGTGGCCCACAGTTGTTCACATGTAGTGTAGGCAGTCTGCCCAGAGAGACCAGCAGTAGGGAAAAGGATAATCCTTCTGCCCATAAGTAGCTTTGTTCACATTCACATTAAGTATTTATTTATACAAATAAATACTTTATGACTCTATTTCATACCCATATGCAAAAAATTACATATTTTATGTAAAATTTGTGAACAAGAATTCTTGCCCTTATGGAGCTTCCATTCTGATAAAGAGAACTGAAGAGCATCCTGTTACAGCTTAGTGCAACAGTGTGGGGAGCATTCCAAAAGGTTCTATTAGTAGTGCTAAAGGGGAACCTTTAAAACAATGCTTACTTTTTTTGTTGATCATACCATAGAAATATAATTAAACTTTAGGTTGCATCCACAATTAATGTCATTTTATTGTAGATCTCTTATGTGGTTAAAGAGAATCAGCCAAATGTGTAAGTGGTGATATGCCTTTTTTTTTTTTTTTTTTTTTTTTTTTTTTAATGTTTATTATTTATGAGAGAGAGAAACAGAGTGTGAGCGGGGAGGGTCAGAGAGAGAGAGGGTGACACAGAATCCGAAGCAGGCTCCAGGCTCCGAGCTGTCAGCACAGAGCCTGATGCGGGGCTTGAACCCACTAACTGTGAGATCATGACCTGAGCCGAAGTCAGGTGCTTAACTGACTGAGCCACCCAGGCACCCCTGATATGCCTCTTTTTATAGTCCTGGTACAATAAGTTATGAAAAGAGTGTCAGGAATAACTTCTTCCCTCTTTAGAATAAGAAATACTTAGCCATACAGTTTTTAAAAGTTACATAAAGCGTTTCAGGTTTTAAAAAGAGTAGAACTCCCTCTAAAGGCAGAGCTCTCCTCAGAGGAAATATTAGAAATGTTTCTAAACGCTAGAGCTATGAGGGGCACCTGGGTGGCTCAGTTGGTTAAGCATCCGACTTTGGCTCAGGTCATGATCTCCCAGCTTGTGAGTTCGAGCCCTGCCTTGGGCTCTGTGCTAACAGCTTGGAGCCTGGGGCTCACTTCTGATTCTGTCTCCCTATCTCTCTGCTCCTCCCCTGTTCTCTCTCTCTCTCAAAAATAAATAAACATTAAAAAAAAGTTTTTTAAAAATGCCAGAGCTGTGTGAACAGCTTATTCCAAAACATGTATTTAAATGTTATAAGGTGGAATGTCTTTAAAATACTTGTCTTCTGAGGCCTTTGGTGTTGTAGATTCCTTAGTCTGCATCACGGTTGTTCAGATCTGAGGTATCCTTTAAGAGTGTCTTTAGGAAGTAGGTTGGTGGGGCACCTGGGTGGCTCAGTCGGTTAAGCGGCCGACTTTGGCTCAGGTCATGATCTTGCGGTCCGTGGGTTCGAGCCCCACGTTGGGCTCTGTGCTGACAGCTCAGAGCCTGGAGCCTGTTTCAGATTCTGTGTCTCCCTCTCTCTGACCCTCCCCCATTCATGCTCCGTCTGTCTCTCTCTCAAAATTAAATAAACGCTAAAAAATAAAAAAAATTTAAAAAAAGTAGGTTGGTGTTTATATAGAAAATGAATACAGGAAAAGATACTGGCTGTACATTTGGGATGTGTGTCATGAATAAGTGAATTCTTTTGTCCTCACTAGCTGGTTAAGGCTTTACTTGTGTAATATGTGTAAAAGGTTATTTTGCATTAAAATCAAACTTACAGGATTGACTCTTGAATTCTAGACTAACTTTGAATAATTGGACCTGCAGATTGACTATCCACCATTTGAAAAAAATTTTTACAATGAGCATGAAGAGATAACCAACCTCACCCCTCAGCAGCTAATAGATCTCCGTCATAAGCTCAATCTTCGGGTAAGTTAGCCATGGTGCTAAATATTCTTATATTAATTAGTTGACAGTTACTATTATTGCTTATCCAAACTAAAATAACCTTCTTTTCTAATGGTCCTTGGACTATCTTTGATAGCAAGGCTCCTGTGTCTTGATTTTATTGTTTTAGTCTTCCACCTATTGTGGGATAGAATTGTTATATCTTTAATGCAACACACATGAATATGTATTCAATTTTGTATGTTGTATTGAAATAATAAGTCATTGTGACCTTAAAATCAGTTAAGTAATTCTGCAACGAGTACAGTGTGCTAGGAACTGTGTTGGGTGGGCTAGAAATGAAGAATATAAGTCCCAACTTCAGGAAAAGGAGACAAGATTAATAGATGCAAACAATATGTGGAATCCTAGGATATTTTTAAATTAAGGTATACTCAAATTAATATGTAGCATATGTTTAAAATAATTAGAAGAAGAAATTAACACCTTAGAATATGCACTCATTTCAGAATAATAGTTTTAAATTGCCAAAAAGCTTTGGGTTGCACACTGACCACATTGTTTAGGCACTGCTGGATGTTAGTTAAGTGAAACACACAGATGGTACAGTAATATCTACTCTAGTGCACACAGCTTTCTGGCCTGTATCTGCCTTACCAGTTTCTATGTGACATTTGAACTTCTGTTTTCCCAGAGAGGATGCGTGCATATGCACGTATTGTCTATTTTCCAAGGCTAACCGCCCCCCACTCCTCCCCCTCAAAAAGGCCCTTTAAGTGAAATACTGATTAGATATATCAGTATGAGAAGCATTGCAAGGCTACTACTGTTAGAGTCAAAAAGGAGGCTATAAACCCCATTCTTCACCTGAGTAGTTTGAACAATGTTTTACTGTGGCTGTGGACCATCATTAAGTGGGATACTTAATTCTTCAGGGAGAACTAAAACTGGAAACAATAGATTGTATCCAGTGGGTATAGACATGTCTTATTTGGAGCTCATTTGCCCTTTTTATTTGAAGAGTAAATTTTAGTTTTTTTCTACCATCTGGTTAATAGTTACTGCAAAATGGCAAAAAATACTCATGTCTTTTTCCAATCATTGAGCAATATTTTTTATTTCTTAAAAGGAAATCTTGATTTAAGAGCTTTCTAGGCTCTTAATCATTTTAAAATTTTTTTCAAGTCTTTCCCAGTTTATCTGTTTTGTTTTTTTCCTTCCAAGATTTTATGTGGATTCAAGTTAGTTAACCTGTAGTGTAATATTGGTTTCAGGAGTAGAATTTAGTGATTCATCACTTACATATAACACCCACTGCTCATCCCAACAAGTGCCCGCCTTAATGCACATCACCCATTTAGCCCATCCTCCCTGTCCCTCACCTCTTCTCCAGCAATCCTCAGTTCTCCATAGTGAAGAATCGCTTATGGTTTGTCTCCCTTCTCTGTTTATCTTACTCTTCCTTCCCTCCCCCTATTTTCATCTGTTTTGTTTCTTAAATTCCACCTGTGAGTGAAATCATAATGGTATTTGTCTTTCTCTGACTTATTTTGTGTAGCATAATACACTTCAGCTCCATCCATGTCATTGCAAATGGGGCACTTAATCATTTTAAATCATATGACAATTATCTCAGGAATATTTAACATGGAGTTTTTTATGTGAGGTTTTAGATCCGTTATTATTTGAGTTCTACCTTTTCAAACAGTGTATGTGTTTGGCCACAGACTTGTATTTTCCCTTTTTTATACTCAAGCTGAGTAAGTATAAGATACAGGTAAACACCATTGAACTTCCGATGCTGCTTATTTTGAAGTATGAGTCATTCCTGGGAGTTGTCTTTATCTCTAGGTCTCTGGTGCTGCACCTCCTAGACCAGGAAGTAGTTTTGCTCATTTTGGGTTTGATGAACAACTTATGCACCAGATTCGGAAATCTGAGTACACACAGCCCACTCCAATACAGTGCCAGGTAAGTAAAACATAATGAAAGAAAAACAAGGTAGAATCATATCCAGTGACCATACTTATTCTACAAACAATGCAAAACAGTAAAACAGCATTTGGTCCAGAATTATATTGACGTGGAAAGAAGTGGTCTAAATATTTCCTCTTTGGCTTAGTCCTTTTGCTTTAATTAAGGGGGGGTGGGGGGGAAGAACATACATGAAATCCAAGAATATTTTTGAAATCTTTAAAAATTAAAGAGCAGAAGTGAATTATTTACCATTCTAAGATGTTGCTAATAGGGCTGGGAAATATTCTTTTGTATCTGATAAATGTCTTAAAGATACAACCTGAAGAAAACAATTCATTAGGCCTGAACGTAACAAAAAAGATTTGTGTGTAGACAAATATAGCACTGTCAGTGACTAGGAATCCTTTGTCTCTGATATGAAAATTCTCACTTCTATAACTGGAAGTAATAACTTGTTTTCCATTTATATGTTGGATTTATTCATTCCTATACAGAATATGAGAATTTTCTGGATGAGTGAGATAGTCTACCTTCTCATGGGGAAATTTTATTTTTTAATTTTAGCAATCCACTTACACTATGAATTGCAATTTTTCATTTCTGTATCTCAGGCTAAATACAGTCATTCAAATTTTGTAAATGGTGGCTGATCCACATGAAGAGAATGATAATATTATTTCCTATAAATCAGGAATTTTATGGAAATGCTAGGTATTTCTTGTTAATTTATAGACAGTGTGCATAACCCATCAGGTTATTTCTTGTTCCTTTGGAAATGAATGTCATTGATTTCCCCAAGATTTCCTTCAGTACATCTTTAAAATTTTAAAGTTTAGGGTAGATATATTTTATTTTTTCTCTAGGGCGTGCCTGTGGCGTTAAGTGGTAGAGACATGATTGGTATTGCCAAAACAGGCAGTGGAAAAACGGCCGCCTTTATCTGGCCGATGTTGATTCATATAATGGACCAGAAGGAACTGGAACCAGGTGATGGACCGATTGCAGTGATTGTGTGTCCTACTAGGGAGCTTTGCCAGCAGGTATGTACTTGGTGTAGAATGCTCCCTTTCGTATGTGAACTAATGTGGGACTAGCCAGTCAGTTGGATAGGATTAACTGGGAAACTTTTTTCATTTTTTAATTATTTATTTCAAAAATATGTCTATTTTAGAGAGAGGGAGTGAGCGAGGGGGTGGGGCACAGAGGATCTGCTATTAGCACATAGCCTGACATGGGGCTTGAACTCACAAACCGTGAGATCATGACCTGAGCCAAAGTCAGACACTTAACCGACTGAGCCACCCAGGTGCCCCGGGAAACTTTTCAAAAATATGGTGAAATGAACATAACATTTTATAATTTTGATCATTTTTTAAGTGTATGGTTCAGTGGCATTAAGTACATTCATGTTGTTGTGCTACCAGGAAACTTTTGGAAAATACTGTTATGTATTTTCTACATAATGGAAGTACATACTTTTCCCTAAAAATAACTGTTTTAAGAGAAAAAATACATGGGAATTGTTTGTGTTTTCCTCCTGGGTTAATTCATTTTGTTTGGGTAGAATGGATTATAATTATAATGGCAAAAAGTTAAAAAAATGAATAATCTAGATTGTAGACAGTCTGTTGGGATGTACGTGATAATGGTTCGTTTACTTTCAGAACTCACTTTTGCGTAGTAACAGGTACTTGTCAGTGTCATGGTTTGTTCGTGTCATTGTGTCCACAACTTTGCAGATCCATGCAGAATGTAAGCGGTTTGGGAAAGCGTATAATCTTCGATCAGTGGCCGTGTATGGAGGAGGGAGCATGTGGGAGCAAGCCAAGGCTCTTCAGGAAGGGGCAGAGATTGTTGTGTGTACCCCAGTAAGTATGTCTTAGGTTTAAATGGCTCCTCGGCCACTTACGGAATGGTATGGAAAAAGGATTGGTTATTGAATGGCATGCCCCCTAAACTGTGATATAGCAGGGTGAAGAATACTCACCCTGTGACTTTGGTTTAATTTTGATTGGTTGACTAGATTAGCAGTCTATTAAGATTAATAGGTGTAAATTCTCCTTTGTTTTAAATCGGTTTTTGTGTTGTTTTGTTTTTTTTTTTTTTTTAATTTTTTTTTTTTTCAACGTTTATTTATTTTTGGGACAGAGAGAGACAGAGCATGAACGGGGGAGGGGCAGAGAGAGAGGGAGACACAGAATCAGAAACAGGCTCCAGGCTCCGAGCCATCAGCCCAGAGCCTGACGCGGGGCTCGAACTCCCGGACCGTGAGATCGTGACCTGGCTGAAGTCGGACGCTTAACCGACTGCGCCACCCAGGCGCCCCAATGTGTTTTTTTTTTTTTTAATGCTCTCTTGGAAAATGGGTCTGTGGTTACTGAGAGCATCAAGAATCAGAAAGATATTTGGAATATAGTCAGAATTGCCTAGAAGAGTATAGTCTAAACATTAAACCCCATCAATAAGGTTTTAAATTAGGTCATTTTAAAATACCTCACAAAATAGTTCTGGCCATTTTGTCACAATTAGGTTTAATTAGGTTTTTAATTTTTCTGTTCTTTTGTGCTCTGTAGTGCATGAAGTCCAAGGCTGTCAGACCCAGTGTCTTACAGTCTACAACTGGATTATTAGCACTTTTGCCAGGAACACAATTATAGAAAGTTCTTGTAAATGCCATTAATTATACTCACTATGCATTTTGTGAATCTTATAGGGTCGACTGATTGATCACGTGAAGAAGAAAGCTACCAATCTTCAAAGGGTCTCTTACCTTGTGTTTGATGAAGCAGATCGCATGTTTGACATGGGATTTGGTATGCCTTTAATACCAGTTTCTTCTGCTCCCATCCTCATGATACTCGCTTTTTCCTTGTCTTTCTAGACTTTTTTTCTTTCTGTATGAGAGAAGCTAAAAATACTCTTGTACAGGATTAGATCGTTAGCTATTTTTAGGAGTTCTCTCAGGAAGTATACATTAGGCTTGGCTGGGTTACAGATATTTGGAAGTGCCTTTGTATATAGGAGGAATATTTTCTCTATATTTTTATTCATATGCCTTTAATCATAGAGGTCAAGTTCTGTGTTCTTAGGTAGGTGGATGTCGTATCATTGAAGGCCCTTTGCTTTCCTGTCCTCCCTGACTAAGCCAGATGTGTGAAATTCTGAATAACCCATCTTTACTGATTGGAACACTGCTGGGCTCAGCCCAGCTGGGAGGAGGGAAAGTGTTTCTGGGTTTCATACTAAAGGATAGGTCTAGGAGTTTCAAATTTTCCTTAATAGTTATAACTTCTCACAGGAAGATTTTTACTAAAATGACTTTTCCCCAAGCATCCCAAACTATAGTACAGACTTCTAATGTTATTTTATTCTGCTTCCAGAGTACCAGGTGCGATCCATAGCAAGTCATGTCCGTCCTGACAGACAGAGTACGTATGAAGCAGTTTTATTAAGTCACGTTTATATTCAGAATAAACAATTAAGTATTTTATTAGCACTCACAGTATGGCAGCGAAAATGATCATGTGTGTCCTGGTGAGAACCATAGAGGAGGATATAAAAATAGTCTGTCTGAACTTGACAGGACTTTAGAGATCATCAGATGTAACTCACTTGTTTTTGCGGAGGATAACCCCAGGCTGAGGATTAAGTGACTTGTCCCAAGTTACACGATGTTATCAGCAGGTAGAGGCAAAGCACAGTGCAGATCTGCTGATTTGAAGTCAGGAGCCTCTTTGAACCATGCGGACAGTCCCTGTCTTACCTGAAAATGTATAAAAATAGAAAAAGGAAAATGTTTTTTCCTTAGTAAATCAGTTTTGAAACTAAGTTTAAAGCTCAGGTGGGTTTATTTTATAAGCTGAATAATTCTGAATGTTAGTAGGAGGCTTAGTGGATATTCAAAAAAGAAGTCATACTGTTTATGTAACAGAATTTACTCTACCTTTTAGCCCTCTTATTCAGTGCAACTTTTCGGAAAAAGATTGAAAAACTGGCCAGAGACATCCTGATCGACCCTATTCGTGTGGTGCAGGGAGACATTGGCGAGGTAACCTTAATAAGCAGGGCCAGATGGGACCCCAGTGGGTTATTTCTCAAATTATGAAGAAAATAGAATTAATTTCTCCCTGTTGAGAGGAAAATTATGTTATTATGTATTTACAAATGAGGCAACACGATTCAGATTTGTTTTAAAAAACACAAGGTAGGAGGATAGAGGAGACAACTAAATTGTCAAAATAGGGATAATTATTGAAGCTGGGTGATGGGTACATGGGAGGTGATTACGTTCATTTTGGGTTTTTTGTTTTTTTTGAATGTTTAAAATTTTCCATAATTAAAGTTAAAAACTTTTAGGGGGAAAAAAAAGGCTTTGCCTGGAAGACTACTAGTCAGGATGGAACTGACATTTTGAATGCTTATAGGAGTAGCAGGCTAACTGCACAGCATGGAGTGGGTGAGACTTAAAAGCCCTGGTGAAAACGAGCTCGTGGCATTTTTCTTTTTTTTTTTTTTTTT